AAGCGAAACGTCTTCAATCTTGGAAACAAAGTCCAGAGGATTGTTTTTTAACTTTTGCTGTAATGTATCACACAGTTATGTCATATTTTACACAAAATAAAGCCGTATCTATTAATATAAGCACTGACTTGCTGCCTGCTGTGCAGTCCTGTGGCAGGAAGCAGGATTTAGCCACATGTCCAAGCAGAAGAACATGCTCTTTGCTCAGCTGTCTCCATTGAGCCACAGTGTGGAACAGTCTAGAAAGACATAGAAGCAAATGTCAGATGTTATTGCAGATACCATTAAAAAAAGGAAAGAAAACAGTCTGTTTAAGCAGGCTGACAAACAGATAACCCTCCCATTTGTGTTACTGTGACATAATGCTAATATTGAAAGACGTAAAGTCCTTTCAAAGGGCCACTGTTTCTTACATAAGCTGGTGAATGTTTACACTGCCTGTGGTCTAGTTTAGTTTGTGTTATGAAACATCTCCTACATCTGATTTGGTTAAGCAGCCGCTCAATAAAAAGGTTCATATCTGTCATACTTTTAATTATATCCCTTCAACATGATCATTTTTTAAACCATAACTACTACTGTAGAGAGTGACCAGTACAGGTACCTATATATATATATATATATATATATATATATATATATATAGACATTCCAACAAAATATATATATCAACCTGGAAGCTGTTCCATGCAAATATACCATACAATAATATATCTGGCCAAATAGTTTTTAATAAACAACGATAATCTACAATAATCACCTTTAATGAATTTTATTGCCAATGAAGGCTTTCATTTAAAAAATAATAGTTTAATGACTATTAAAGATTTTTGATGACCCTGTGAAACCCTGTTTTTAGACAGAGAGAGAATGTCAAAGTTTGTAGGAAGATGGGTGGAGCTAAACGCAGCAAAGTGCAAAAAGAAGAATTGTTTGGACTGAAAAGACTTGAAGACTTGAGCTTAACTCACTTTGCTGTACAGTTGCAGTGATAAAGCATCTTCGTTTCTGTGTTGTGGAGGCCATATTTTCTCTGCTGGGGTAGAATCTTGTTCTTACACTCATCAAGTTCCTTGTATATAGTGCAAGAGCTCTCCTCCTCTGTGAAAACGATATAAATATTCAATTTCAGTGACAGACTGAGCTAAATTATTACACTTCAAATAATTAAATAATCTACCTGTAGATTTGGAGTACTGCTGAGTCCCAGCGCGATGTCTGGCAGGTAAATTGTTCTCTGTAACACTTTCTCTAGCATCCATTGATGCTTTACCAGCAGAGAAGTTTGTACCATCAGTGATGGACGGAGTGGAGGAAGCTGCAGGGACCGTGGATGTGGCTGCAGTGGTGGAGAGAAGGCGTGGATCTGAGGTGTTTGTTTCCTGGAGTTCTGCAGGTGCAGTGGAGTTGATGTAAGAGCAGGAGCCGTTCATGCAGCCCTCGTCTTCGGAGCGCGCCGACTCATACTGCGTGGGCGAATGGACGTCAGCGTACAGCGCCATCTGAGTCTTTTTACACCTATGAGTCACCAGATGGGAAAAACATGCAAAAAAATAATTATTTTTGCCTGGAATTTTGACAAAGTTTCTGTTGTAAACAAGGAGATAAAATGTGTTTTGTTTTCCAGTTGTACTTATATTTACCCAAGTAAACAGTTCTACATACTGTCTACTGTTAACACCATTTTAAATTATGATCATATAGTCTATAGTCACTCTATTACATATGGAGACATGTATCTAAAGTTATTTCTCCCTGGGGTTATTGAAGTATTTTTGATTCCTGGTTGATGGGACAGGTGTTGTGAATAAAACAGTGCCCAGCTTGAAAGCGCTCCTGTGTGTCGCTGAATGTGTGTATTGATGACTGAAAGACATCTTCTGAATCCATTTATCTGTTTACTACAGTGTGTTGAATTCATGTGTATTTAAAGATTTCAATTATGGAAAAAACTACGGGGGAATATTAAAAAAAAGTCTAATCAACCAAAGCTGTCGAGACCCCCGTGCAGTACCTCTGTGAACCCCCTAGGGGTTGTGGACCCCGTGTTGAAGACCTCCGCTCTAAAGTATAAAATTACAATTTACAGCCTCTCACAACTTTGGAACCAACCTCGAAAACGGTGCTGCGTTAAAAACACAGCAATTATCATTTCATTTTAAAAATAGCCAAAGCTGCACCTGGCATTAAAATCTGTGAATATTTAAAAGGCTGTAAGCAAAAAAAAAAAGAAAAAAAGAAAAAAAAGAAAGTCAGGTCTTATTATGTGAATACTACTTCATTAGGTCTAGCTAGAGTTTTTCCTCTCCACTTTCGCTGCATGCATGCTTAGTGTGAGGGATTGCTGTAGAGTCAACATATCTACTGTCTGTTCGTGTTTGGCTGTGACTCCATCCTGGAGAGTAGTATCAGCTGTCCTGCTGCCATCAACACCTTTGTTTATAGATCTTGGAGATTGGCATGTTTTTCAGTGCAGTCCTGTTTCTCTGACTGTGACTGGCTGGATGTGCTCTTTTCATCCTCTACCATGGGAGCTGGCTCTGAGCTCGTCTGCCTGGCTGTGTGTTTCTTGGATGGGGCCGCCTATGGACTTGGTTTACAGTTGCCTTTTGTATCTCTGCTTCTGTCTCCTTGAACCCCAGTCGGCCTCGGCAGATGGCTGCTCACACTGAGCCTGGTTTTGCTGGAGGTTTCTTTCTGTTAAAAGGGGAGTTTTTC